GGAGGATCTGACTATGGGGATTGCGGCTATTCACAAGGGAGTCAAGCCGAAGGCTTAGGAGGGTAGAGATTTGGGTGGTGTAGTGTTATGTTATGTCTGTATGAATACACGAGTTGACAAGATGACCACTATCTTGAGGCTCTGATCATGTCAGTTTCGCTGATGTGCCATTATTCAAGGTCATCCATCTTTCTACATTGTCTGTTGTGACCATGAAATCTTCTTCACGGTGTAAGAGAAGTAATTGGCCACGGCGTCAATCCCCGTAGCACCAACTCCGACATCCGCTTCCCCAATCCATTCCATCACACCGCAACACCGTTCCACCAGACCATCAAGGTACCTGAACACGCGATGCGGTATACATCGGATAGCTGCCCTGTCCGACGTGTCAAAAGCTGTGCAAGGTGATGCACAGGCACGTCACATTCATTTAGTGTAGTGTTGTACTGGAAATTAATTGATATTAGACGGTTTCAATCTAATCCTTCGCCGAAGCGATTGACATAATGGTGACTACGTAGCATCGACCAGCCAGTCGGGATCAGCGTCTTCGTCTTCGGGGTCTTCCATCAGAAGGGAGCCGGTTTCTGAGGGGGATGATGAGGGTGGAGAGGGCATTTCGGTGTCGGTATTGGGTTTGGGTTCGAGGTCATCGGACTGCTCCGGGGGTGGGGGCTCTTCGGTCTTTTCCAATTGCGCGTCGTTGGTGGGTTCTGCTTCTGGTACGAACCCTCTGGCGGTTTCTGCAGTTCCGTCAAGCTGCGAAGGCCCATCATTGGCGTCTTTGGTAGAAGTGGAGGGGCCTGCTTCGTCTGAGGAGCCGTCACGAACAAAGCCTCCTCCTTCTTCTTCATCCTCGGAAGAGTAGATTTGACCATAGCTACTCCTACGCCGAGGGAGCAGTGGTTGCGCATCCAGGATGGAGCTTTCAAAACTTTGATGTCGGTTTAGACTGATAGGCGCTGGACGGTCGGGTTTTTCTGGGACAAAGCCGCCACCTTCATCGCCGTCATCTTCGTTGTCATCCTCGGGCAGGAACCCGCCATCTCCGTGATTTTGCTCGTGTGGTTGATAGCCACCCATTGAGGGTTTGGCAACGTCTCCCTCATCAGGGAAGAAGCCTCCGGCCATCTCCTGTGCCGCTAACTCTCTGTCCTCTTTACTAATCTCATCTTGCACATCAATGGCTGGGCCCTTTTCACCATCAATCTCGATAGCGTTGACACGCTGTGCAATGCGAAGACCAAGGAAGAAGCGCCTCCATAAGCGCAGAGACTCAACCCTTCGCGCTTCGGCTTCAGCTTCTTCTTGTTGGTGCTCCATTCCATCAATGACTGCCTGGACAGCATCTGCGTACTCTTGTGCGACCACGACACCCTGAACGATCGCAGTACCATGGCGGCCCTTGAAAGAAAAGCCAGTAACAGCATCTGCATAGTCTACTCCAACGATTCGCGCTGCTTTCGAGGCGAGCTTGTGTCGGATATGTGTACCGCCGGGCGGACACATGGACGGGACATAGAGGTCAAGATTACCATAGGCATTGCGTGGAACGCGCCCACGGACAACGGGAGGAGGGATGTAGAGCTCGGTCTGGAACTCTGCAAAGAGCCCCGCACCAACCTCGTCAACTTGTTCATCAATATCCATGTCTGCTCCAATTGAAGACCTTCTCCCTTTCTTGGGCTTGGCGCGTTTGAGTGGCTGCTCGCCGACTTTGACGTCCCGTCCCATACGATACCACTTGTCGGCTGTCCGGACTAGATGAACATTTGTACGACGGTAGATGGGTTCCATCTTTGGGTTCATAGCACTGCCGCAGTTGACCTTGCCGACCTGGTTCAAGGGATGTATCACTTCGTTATGCCTGAGATGGCGCTCAAGAACGTAAACTGGGTGGCCTCTGAAGTCTTGCACGTTCTTTGGAATACCTTCGGCAGCTTCTTTGCGAGCCAAAGTAGCGTCTTCCATCTGGTCTCTGTCGAGGGTGGTTCCACGCTGGAAGAATTGCATCGCCCGTTTCCACCATCTATCGCCATCAGGGGTGATTTCAACACGGTATTTCCGCGTCTTGGCATTGTACGCTTTCGCGTATCTTTGGGTGACATCTTTGGCAGTATAGTCTTCGTCGAACGCTATCGCGTAGGAGAGAATGTTCTGAGCAAAGTTAAGTGGTGGCTCTAGTTTCTCAGGCGAGTTGACGGTAAATGTAGAGTGTGTATCGATTGGTATCCACTTCTGGTAAGAAGGGTTGAGTACCTCCACCCAATACACTGGATACGGCGTGTGATAGGCTTTCTGTTTCTTGGGTGTTACACCTGTCTTGTTCAGAACAGCATGTCGCTCCCCCATCACACGCTCGAGTCTCGATAATTTCTTGTTACGCGGGCCCTGTGACTTGGGTTTCGTTGGACTCGGCTCTGCCGGCTTGTTGTACGGATCGACAACTATCGTATTTTTCTGAGCGCTGGTCTTCTGCGGGGTGGCACGCTCGGCTGCAGAAGCAAAAGGTAATGGCTGTAGCGAGCAGACAAGCCTAACCTCAATACCGATGCCACGAAGAAGAGCGCAAAACAGTTGCGTTCCGACGTCCTGAGACCCTTGTAGAGTATGCGCTGCGGTGCGGAATTCATCCTTGTCCATAGGGTCATCAAGGTCGTCAAAGTCTGAGAAGGGTCGGATGGCGGCTTCAGCTTCAGCCCATCTAGGCTTGTACATGCCTTGAGCCGTGATTCTGAACCGCTTTGACCATAGTACCTTTAGCTCGTTCAACCCATCTATAAATTGCTTCGAGGCCGAGTACTGCGACAAGTCGGGATTGGGTACCAGATTGGATAGGGTCTTGGAGGGCACAATTTTACGTAGCGTGCTTTGTACCCTCCTATCGTTGCACCAGGCATTTCTGCGATGGACGTGGTAGAGCAGACAGAGAATGTGCATCTTGTGGATATCCAAACGTCGCTTCTTGTCCACCGAGGTTATGGCCCGCCGACGCACCTTCCTCCTTGTCCCAGTCTCCTCTGTCTTTTTGGCTCCCATGGTGATGTTGATGTCGCCAATCTTGGGTGCAGCCTCAATGGCTTCGTCGGGGTCATCGGTATCGTCGCCGTCGGCAAGCGCATCTTCCCACTCCATATCGCTGTCATCTGACTCGTCCGAGTCGATGATAGTCTGGCGCACTCGCTCGTTCGTACGCGGTTCCTCGTCAGTGACGGAATGGGCTGGAGCGATGGGCGGCGATCGCGTGTGCGACGGCATCTGGGATTGTGATGCAGCATCTTCGGCTTGGGACGGTACGGGTAGTGGCGACTTCGGAACATCGGTCAGCGGTCGCCGTTGTCGTACGGGTTCAACATGGTGTTCCGGGCTTGGTTGTCGTCGTAGAGGCGCCGTTTTTCTCTTCTTGAGCGGCGGTTCGTCTGTGCTCATGGCCTGCTCTTCGCGCAGCATTTCCTGGAAGACGGCGGGTACGCCTGCATCCTCCTGTTCCTTCTTAGCCCTCCGCGTTGAGCGTCTTGGAGTAGCCGACTCCGCCGCCTTATGCGACTTTCCTCGCGCGCCTGCCATGTCTGCTGTCACCGGTAGAGTTGGCGCAAAGTGTGGGGATTCGATTGTGACGCTTGCGGTTGAGAGCTACACAGCGCAACAGCAACCATCATGGCTGCAATAAGCAGAGAGTAGATTGCGTGCAGATACCGCGATTCGCGAGTGTACTGCGTTGCGGCGGCCTGCTTGGAATGCTTCAGTGAAGGCTGACCGTGATGACGCAATCGTCCAAAAGCGCGCTATCACGTGTTTGGCGACCTAGCCTCGAGCCTAACCCTGGAAGGTCGCATCTACATCACGCTCGACCAAAGTCACCTCAAGATGCATCGCAAGGCCAATCCTACGCTGCACCTCGTACAAGGAAGAAGAGGAACAGATCTGCAGCCCACTTCAAGGTAGAAACACGCAAAGCAGGTGATCTAACGTCAACGTAGGCTCTGGGATGTTCAGATCTTTCCTTGCATGAGGTGGCTTCATGAAATGGCACTTCCCATGCTAAACCTAATATATGGGACATGTACTACAGACTCACATCCGCCATAGCTGTCGAGGTTGGTACCCGGACACTATGGACGTTACTACCGCGCGTAACACAGGAGACTGTCGCCCTTCCCTGACCAGCATACTTCCTCAGTCGCACCTGTATGCTTTGTGAAAGGCGTGTTACAGCTGTCAGTATGGATCTGGGACAGCTTGATAACCAGCCCATATCTATGGTCATTGATCGAGTAGGCTCGTACTTCCGAGCTGTACCCACAAAACCATACCCTGGAGGTATTCAGTGCGGCTTTACACTTGTACAGGATACAAGACAATGCCTACCTTCAGAGTGGCTTTTATATGAGGCGGGCCTGGAGACACGCTCCTTCGCAGTGTAAGGTTCTGCCTACTTGACCGTAGCTCGTTGCTACCCTCAACAGGACTTGCGCCTACTACATCTACGTGACCGGATGTCTTGTTATCTCCCATCCTGGTGGAGCTCCCGGACGCATCAATATCATCAGAATCATCAGCATTATCAGCTTCACCGACATCAGTAGCAACACCAGAAGCATCCATCACTATTACAGCAACTCATCATGGCCATGTCTATGAAGCCCACCGAGAACGGCATTCCACGCGCTCATATTCTGGGTCTTCCATTTACGGTTGACCGAAGCTCTCCGAAACTGCCTACAGTCGAGCCACAGCCTGTTCCAAACCCGCCGCGAGCACCGGAATATACTGGCTCTCAGTATTCTGAGGCAGTGGAGGAGACGAAGCTTCCAGCGCCAGACTCAGTCCATCACCCAAAGGAGCCACATCACCGTCCATTTGGCGCGATTTCCAGCTGCTGCTCAACCAGTCGACCTCACACACCCCCTACGACGGCAACGGTACATGCACACGGCGATGCGCATGACGAGACAGAAGTCCCAGCCTTGGAGAGCACACATACCCAATCTCACGCCATGGGTATTTGCTGCTCGGGGTCTCCCCGCCCAAGTGAGGACTCTTCGCTAAAGCATCTAGGTGATATCGCGATCTTGGGCGAACACGAGGACGTTGAGCTCGGCCCTTCAAATTTTGAGCGAGTCGTTCTCCGAATCGATGGTCTCAAGTGCGGATGCTGCGAATCAGGGCTTTCGCGGGCGGTTGGCCGCATTCCTGCCGTTAGGAACTTTCAAGTGAACACTGTCTTAGCTCGGGTCGAGCTCGAGTTGGATACCAATCGGCTGTCCGTTGACAGGATTATCAAGCTACTAGAAACGAGGACTGGATACAAATTCGAGAAGCAGGTGGCAGTTTCTGGTCAGGTTTTAGAGTTCATCATTACCGATCCCAGGCGTTTGCAGCATGCCGTCCAACCACGCGGCGTCACACGTGTCGAGGTCCCCGAACGAGCACCATGGCGTCCTTTCGGCTTGTTGAGTGGGCGCAAGGGCGCAACGCAGAAGAATACAGCCGATGTCAACGGAGATTCCGCTGCCGAGGACAGCCCTCGCAAAACATCGAAGCTACGTATACCACCGACCAAGATATATTACGACGCGAACGTCATCGGCGCCCGAGACATCTACGAACACTACCTCAAATACGATCCCGATCTAACCCTAGCACCTCTAGTGGCAGATCCAGGGCTTGATCTTGGAGCCAAGCAGACCAGAAGAGCCTTGAAATGGTTTCTTCCCACACTGGCTCTCACTGTCCCCGTCCTCATCTTCGCATGGGCCCCACTTAACCACGAGAACCCCACTTTCGCCCACATCTCACTGGCTCTGGCAACCCTCGTACAGCTAATCGCCTTCTACCAATTTGTCCCGAGCGCTTTGAGATCTCTCTATCATTCTCACGTATTAGAGATGGACTTCTTGGTGACATTCAGTACGCCAGCTTCAAACTTGTCCTCAAAATACGTTTGCTGACTACATACTTCCATAGGTACCACGATGGCGTACGTTTTCAGCATCGTATCCTACAAGTACCAACTTGATGGTAGGCCACTAGAAACTGGATCGTTCTTCGAGACGTCTACGCTGTTGGTCTCGCTTCTCTTGCTGGGCCGCTTCATCAATGAATACGCCCGTTATCGAGGTAAGTGAAAGGATATCTTGTCACCTACGAGCCTACATCGCCTTTAGATATTTTTATTTTGTGTTTTACTACCGATGTAGTCTCCAGGGCACATTCTGATTCTTTCTTGCAGCTGCGAAGTCCGTATCCTTCAGATCGCTCCAAGTCGACCAGGCAATCCTTGTGCAGCAGACAACGACGTCGTGGGCCAACGCAATCACGAGAAAAATCGACAGCAGACTACTACAGTACGGTGACTACTTCTGCACACCACCGCACACCAGAATCGTGACAGACGGCGTAGTCGTATACGGAGGCTCCGACGTCGACGAATCAATGATGACGGGTGAGTTCAAGCCGAACGCGAAGGGACTCGACTCGGAAGTCTTCGCAGGCACCAACAATGGAGACGGTCAGCTCATCGTAAGCCTAACCAAGCTGCCTCACGAGAACTCGGTCCAGCAAATTGCCGCCCTGGTCGAAGACGCTGAACTGACGAAGCCGCGAGCACAAGCACTCGCTGATCGGGTCGCTGGTTGGTTCGTCCCTGCGATGGCTTCCATCGGGCTCACGGTCTTTCTTATCTGGCTATTTGTCGAGCGATATCACAACACAAAATCCTGGAGGGTACGGTATCCGCCCCGCGTACATTCAACATTCTCTAGCTAACTATTTTCCAGTATGTATCCGCCAGGCTCTACTCCGCGGAGGCAGGTCCAGGTCAGCGTACTGACGTATCAGCAGGAGCGCGGTACTCACTGCCATTACCTATGCCATCGCCACTCTCATCGTCTCATGTCCATGCGCCATCGGTCTTGCCGTACCCATGGTCGTTTTGATCGCAGGTGGTGTGGCCGCACGCCATGGCATCATCTTTCGGGACCCCCAGAAGCTCGAGATCGCACGCAACGTCACCGATGTCATCTTCGACAAGACCGGTACCATTACCACAGGAAGACTTGAGATCATTGGTCTCCCTATGCATCGCAACACGGACCACACACTCATGAAGGGGCTGTTACTAGGCCTTGTGAAGGACATCAAGCACCCTGTATCCATCGCGATCACCCAGTATCTGGAACGAGACATACTCGCCCACAAGAACTTCGAACCTCTTCAGGTCAACAACATCACCAGTATTCCTGGTAAAGGCGTCCAAGGCAATTGTGCGAAAACTGGGGTGGAGATTCGCGCAGGTAACGCAGAATGGCTGCATATCAACGTCATCGGACAAGGAAAGAACACAGCATGCTACTTCACATACGGCGGCGACCTTCGCATGAGCTTCGAACTTCTGGATCAACCCCGGCCTGAAGCAATAATGGTAATTAAAGAACTCCACGCTCGAGGAATAAACGTACACATGCTCAGTGGCGACAACGACGGGGCTGTCAGCGACGTGGCGACAACCCTATACATCGACGAAGCGAATACCAAGGCTCGATGCACACCCGAAGGAAAGATGCAGTACATCCGTGATCTCCAGGACTCGCGCAGGAAATCCATCGTCATGTTCCTGGGTGACGGAACGAACGACTCTGCAGCGCTCAAACAAGCCGACGTAGGCGTGCACCTCAATGATGGTTCCGACGTTGCAAAGTCCGCCGCTGATGTCGTCCTTATAACGACTCGACTACATGACGTTCTCATCCTACTTGACATATCGCATGCGGCATACCGACGTATCTGCTGGAACTTCAGTTGGTCAGCATTCTACAATTTCTTCGCCATCATCCTTGCTGCCGGCGCATTCGTCAAGCTCCAGGCCAACGTGAGGATCACGCCACAGTGGGCGGGCCTGGGTGAGCTCATCAGTGTCCTACCGGTGGTCCTTATCGCCTTCCAGATGCGCTTCCGCAACTATGGGAAACCGTACGGAGCGATGGAGAGGACGTATCAGAAGGTTGAGGCGCCGAAGCGCGAGCAGCGACGTAGTCACCAGAGTGCTAGTTCGGCGAGCGCTGGGTGCTGTGAAATGCCCACGTCGACCCTGGCACATGTTGACGCTATCACGGGTATGAGTGAGAAGCGTGGGCTTGGGAAGGTGGCGTATTGGCTTTCTTCGAGACGATGATTATCCCATTTGTTCTGCGTTTTGAGTTCTGTTGGAATTGTAGGGTAAATTGGAAGTGTGAAATTCATTGTTCTTGTCTTATCTTCATACCTGTTCGCGCTGCTTCCTATGTGCATCCCTCTATTCATTTCTAGGAATGTGCCCTGGAGTGCACATCACGCTTTTCCATGGCATATCACAGACTGAAGTACAGGGTATACCTGTAGGGTCGGTGGTGACACAAAGCAAGTGAGTTCACGTTATCCTAATTCCTTTGACACACTTAACATCCGTTATTACAGTACATGGCGATTTCGCGTTCTTTGGAGGTGTGATTTTGAGTTCTTGTGACACGCTGACGCTAAAGCCGCCGCTGCCTGCCCATCCCACAGTCATGCTTTCCTGCCCTCAAGACTGAAATCTAAGACACCTCCCAACTAATCGGGGCTCTCACACACGACCAACAAGCTTAGGCGAAGCGCCGAGGAACCGACAGTAGCCCCAAGTTGCGACGCGGATAAGATTCAAGTGAAGAATCAATGGTGCTGAGTACGACCAAGCCGGCTGAATTTGCTTCAAAGTGCTTCACAGCACAGAGGCGTTTTCTCGGCACGTTGGGTGGTGTAGCGGCAGTTGCACAAATTCTGATCGGTACAGTCTTTGTCTTGGGGCAGGTTGGCTTCTATTGGTTGGCGTACATAGTTCCGCGAAGGTTTCTGGTCGAGTCTAGGTAAAGCTGGGTGCAATGTACGGTTCGCTACCCAGATACCGCTTTCCTTCTCCACATGTTCTCCGCGCCCATTACAGCGCGTTTGCATGGCATCGACGGTTACAATTACCGCAATGATAGGTCAGCTAGATGACGAAAGAGAGGGGTGTAGAGAAATAGCGGCGCATGTTGTGAGAGCGTTTGCGCACGCGGCGCTCGTGTGCGACTTCAGTCAGCCGGAGAAGAGGGTATGCGACGGCTGCGGTCATTGAAGCCTACCTTGGTTCACATCCCTTATTCAAGTCCCTTCTCTTACATACTTGTTATATAACCTTGCCGTGGGTTGTCCGGCCAAGGCTTGTCATACACTTGGTGCTGGGCATACAGAGATATAGGTATAGACTTACCAGCCGTTTATCCGACTCAAAGATGGCGACTTACATCGGTACGTACTCTTCCTTCGATCAGGCTGCAAGCCCTGGGCTATCCGGCGCAAAAGACGAATACGTAAAAAATGTTAAAAGATGTCGCAATCCAGGGGGCTACCACAGACTTTATACATCCCCTGACTGATCCACACCCCGGTCGCATCACCCCAGATGCTCCGCACAAGGATCCCATCCTGCACACCTCACACCACTTTACTAACCATCCCGACGCAGAACCCCTCGCGCACCTCCTCACCGGGAACGCAACCTATCGCACCGACACAACAGCCCTCGACCCCAACGCCTTCACACTCCTCGCCCAAGGTCAAGCTCCCGACATCCTCTGGATCGGTTGCGCAGACAGTCGCATACCCGAAACCACTGTATGCCACTGCAAGCCAGGCGAGATCTTTGTGCACCGCAATATAGCGAATACGGTGCATGCGGATGATCTATCAGCGGCGAGTGTAGTGGAATATGCGGTTGTGCATTTGAAAGTCAACAAAGTAGTTGTCTGCGGGCACACCAAATGTGGAGGGGCGAATGCGGCTTTGCGAGACGACGATTTGGGTAGCGTTTTGAATAAGTGGTTGGGGCCTGTTCGAGAGTGAGTCCACTTTTTGTCAATTACTTCGCCTTCTGAGAAAATGTGGGGAGGAGATCTGGTGGGGCGAACGCGTGTTCGCAGGATCAGTATCCTGGAATTGGAAAGCTACCGACCGTACTAACAACACCGACAGACTCCGCCGTAAACACAAAGTCGAGTTGGAAGGCCTTCCCAACGATGATGCGAGGGCGGCGCGTGTTGCTGAGCTGAATGTTCAACAGTCGATTGAGGTGCTGAAACAGCATCCGGCTATTAAGAGAGCGGTTGTGGAGCGTGGACTATCGCTTCATGGGCTTATTTATGATATCGGGGTGGGACAGTTGAAGATCTTGGAGGAGGTGGGTGGGAGGAAGATGAATGAGCACTAGAATCAAGTTTGAGGGGTTGACAGAGGCGTTTATATGTTACAGGATTATCACGGCGGTCATGGTTGTGACTGCTTTGATAGAGGTTTCGGTTTTACAGCGTTTGGGAGTTATCATATGTATTTGGACTGACATGCTCAAAACCCCTCCTTCTCCTCAAAGTACTTCCTTGTCTCATATACCGACATAAAGGGAATGACAAATACAGGATGTACCGCCCTCACTGCATCACCCTCATCCCACATCTTGTCCTCACCGTCATAACGACCCTCCATCTTCCAATGGAAAGGTGCGCCAAAGGTACCCGTACCAAGAGTCTTGTTTACATTCTCATCATAGGCGTATTTGTGCTGCACCGCACTCAGCCCAGCCAGATTGTAGCAAGTGTGGTATGCGTCTGCGCCTTTGCCAGGCTTATCTCGCAGTCCACCCTTGTTCTCTTGACACGCGGCTAGGATGTACCTGCCAAGTGCGCCGCGGTTCCATAGTCCTGTCGTGGTTGCAGCTTCGGTAATAGACCAACAGCCGCCGATCCAGTGGGAATAGCAGCCGTCGACGAGCTTGTTTGTGCGGCCGTTGTATCCACCTTCTGGTGTGCATTGGCGCGACGATAGCCAGTAGATCAGCATGTTGACGTCCAGGTACTTGTGAAGCGTTTCTTTTGGTGGGCCGAGGATGGCGAGACTGCCTAGTCCACAAAATGCGTAGGCTCCGTGAGCTTCGTTGCCTGGAGCTGCGGAGATGCCGCCATCCCAGGACTGACACTTGGAGATCCAGTTACCCAGGCCGTCTGTGAAGGTGGTGAAGCCCTGTTTTCGTACGGGTGCATCGGGTGGTAGCTCGAGAGGCAGGTTAAGGAGGGATAGTACGACTAGGGCGCAATAGGCACCGCGAATGTCTTCTTCGCCGCCTGCACACATGGTGAAGCCTCCGTCTGCTTGCTTCATTCGGCCCAAGAAGTGCCATAGAGTCTTGCGATTGATTGTCTCATATGATTCTTTCCCGCCGACTGTGGCCAGCGACAGTACTGAAGCGTATGTACAGGCAAGATGAGCGTACTGTCCGTAGCCACCTCCAAATCCTCCATCCGGATGTTGTGCCAGGGAGGCGGTGTGTGGTGTTCTATGTGCTATCAGAACATGTGCGGCTGAAGTCATGTATTGGAAATTGTCTGCAAAGGGATGTTCAAATTGGAAAGACCTACGTTCTGTTGTAGTCGGATATATCAGACCCCAGTGCGGTCAGGCCTTGCAGAGACCAGTATATGATCCATGGTCGCGCAGCATCCAACGCGGCAGCGCGTGCCGGCCAGTCATCAAGTTGTCCTTCTAAGAAGTAGGCGTGCTTTCGGCGCTGCAAGCTCGGCATGCCAGAAGCGTTGAGTGGGAAATTGTTGGGATTGCCTTCCAAGAAAGGTAATATGACCTTGGACGTTTCTTCATCCGCTTCCGATGTGTCCGTCACGAGTGAGTCCCTGATTGGTATTCTTATACTCTCCAGGTAAGCAATGTTCGCTTGCTCTTCCATGGTAGCGGTTCCCATATCCTCGTAGTCGCTGTCCAGCTCCTCGTCTGAAAGCTCTTCAATTCGTTCTGATCCGGGAATAATCTCCTCTAAGCGGGAATCAGGAGCTGAGGAACGTAGTGGAAGAGCCATCTTTTGTACGTGCACTTCGCGGCGTCTCAATATTGAGCGGTACACGACTGGGCATCCGTGAGTGGCTGGCGCGTATGATGACTTTTAGCAAGGGTTGCTTAGTATTGTTCGAGTGCAGGTGCAGCGTCCAGATATGGTATGGGTATCACGGTACACGCTCGCATAGTGTGGCCAACATTACGTGAGTTAATGACTGCTCTTCGTTTGTTGCAAATGCTACTCAGGTACAGGAAAGAAAGAGTGGAGCACGTGGGGAGTGATCAGATTGAGTGCTAGCTGGCTTGGCGACATCTGCTATCGATAGAGAACATCCCATCTTGTTCTCCATCGACACACAACTCAATCCGAAGAACGCACCCCAGCCATCCCAGCAAGTTCCTCGCCGATCGCCTCGCCCGCAAGCTTCAGCGGCTTCGACTCCTGCAGAACAAACAACATGCGCGTCCAGTCGGTCTTGCTGTGGTTGATCCACTGATGCATCGTTCCACGCTGAATCGCAACGTCACCCCGCTTCATCAACCGCTTCTCGCCGCTGTCTAGTAGACATTCGACCTCGCCTTCGAGTACGCAACCGTAGTCCAAGCTCACAGTCCGGTGCATCGTGCACGCTGTGTCCGGGGGGATGTCGACATGACGGAGGACTGTGCCACCGGAGACGACGAGGCCTGGGGCGTCCTTGAGATAATTGCCGTATACATCGAGATCTTGGTCGTCGTTCATATCGACGGGGAAGCCTTTGGTGGTGAAGCTGAGGGCGAAGGCGATGCCGTCGTCGTTGGCTTTCATCTTGCTTTCCTCGTTGAAGGCTTTGCTGAAGACGGCTTTGCCTTTATCATCATGGGCCGTGATGTAGCGGTGGATCTTGGGCAGCGCGCCGATGTGTGCCATGGTTGAGGTCTTTTGGAGTGTTGTGAAGTATGCTCGTTCGTGATGATTGAGTGGTGTTGAAGGCGAATCTGGCAATCACAACACTTGACTAAGTCGCGCCTTCTATCTCGCCAGAATGGAAGTGACAATTGACATGCCCCACGAGAGTCTCAGATATACTGCTTCACTCTCTCTGCGGGTTACACGAGGTACGGGAGATGCGCGTGGAGCCGAAGGCCGGCTGCGGATCCACATATCCAACTTCCCGTACTCCGCCATCTACGGCTCTTGAGTAGGCGTCATTGCATCAATAATAGCCTGAGTTGTAGAGTTTCGTCTCGCTGCGGTTCAGGGTTCGGTATGTATAAGGTGTGCTATATTGCCGCCACATCGTTTATACGCAACAAGTCTCGGCATCTGCAAAGCCAGTAAGCTGGCCAAGTAGTGAACACGAACAACTGAGAAGGATGGAATGGATCATATCGATATAAACGTATCACCAGATCTCCTTCCGCTATGGTTTTGACTTTCTCAAACGGGAAACAAGTCGCATCGACCACCTCGCAGTGCACGCCTGAACTTTAGTTTGCTAGTCCGCGTTCAGGATCATATCTTGATCGCAAGCTCTTGGTATGCATCTGGCTATATGTAGATATCCGTCTTGGCCAAGGTAACAATGCAACCCAAGCAAAGGTCGCTACACAGTGCCGTCAGTGATACCAGTGGGACATGGTTTAGTGACAGGCAGCACAAACGTATCTACAACAGATGAACTAAGCCTGGATAAGACCGTTCGCGCTGTGTCGATGTAGACCAGTCGTTTGGCCCTGGGCTCATGCTGAGCTGACATCACTGGATTTTCTGGACTATAGTTCAGATGCGCAATTACTGCCCCTTACACAGGGTGAGAACTTTGCATGACCTAGTCAGCAAAGTTTTGTCGAATGAAAGCTTGAATGGTGTTGTCATGGCCGACAGACCGTGACATTCTTCTATCGGGTGGACCAAACTCTGGCTGCCGCGTGTACGGAAAGAGCGCTCCAGCACACCGCGACTTCCTTCACATCACAAACGGATCAAAACTTTGTCGCAATCGCTGCCTTTCTGTTATTACATCGCCACTTCTCCTTGTGCTCACCACCAATTCTCTCAACCCCTGCTCTCATTCCACTTGTTTCTACTGCATGGCGCTACTTGCGTGGTCTTACACCCGTCACCACCTCTAGTGCTACTTCATACTCACCAGACGGGAAGAATGCATCCCACAAAGTACCCAAATGCCTCATCCAATCTCCTCAACTGTCAAAGCTAAAGAGATCAACCGGTCACTCTCCTATCGAGTGCGGGGATGTTCCCCAACCTGTCGCCTTTCCCTTTCGTACTCTGCACAAGTCGCAAGTCAAACCCAGTCAATAGGAAGACAACGTTGCTCGCGTCATACGGAGACCCAACATGCGGCCGCCTCGCCTATGGTACGCCCTGAGAATGTTGGACAAAGAAACGTCAGCAAGGCCGTACAGTAGCACAACGCTATCCACTCCCCATGACTTCGGATGATGGTGGCTTGCGTGGCTACTGACCTGTTAAATTGTGGGTGCGACACTGCAGAACCACGCAGATCTTGCCGAAAACGTGGAAGCATCTCTAAGACTTGGGAAGCATTCAACTACAGTATACTTCAAACGAAAGTAAAACGAAACAGATGGCAGAGATGGTCACGAGCACTATGACGAATCTCGGCATGCCACAGCAAGAGTGATACCAATGTAATACGCCCACCAGTAAGACCAGGGGCGCTATCCTGTCAAGCTGTCGCTGCTCAAACGGCGATATGCGGGCAAAGCATGACAGGATGCACAATACTTGAAACGGCTGCCATGGACGAGAATCCGGATGCAAGACACGGCGCTCAGTAGTACGATCGGAAGCGATGTTACGCAGAAGGCGCTCGGCATGCCAGGGTAACGATGAGCGCTTGCCAACGCGAGGAACCGCCGGCGAGTGGGCACCGCGCGTGGAGGCAGGTATGGCGCTCATGCTGCGGATGGCCGAGGACGCTGGAATGTATGATGACGGCGGGACAAGTTGCGAGGCCTCCTCGGACGTGTCGGTGAGTCTGGACGTCGACGGCGAAGTGCCGTTATAGAGTCGCAGGCCGGGCCATGCCAGTGAGGCAAATACGGACAGCCCTGGTCCATGGTAGTATCCGCGACTTTGCCCACCATTTGTCGCAGTCTATATTCTTAGATCCACCGACGGGCGCCAGTAGCGCAGGCCGGTTCGCCTGGTTGCATGTTGAACAGCTCGTTCGAGAGGTGAAGGTGGACGATCCAGCACGGGCATGAGGGGTGGATATAGCCCACAGCGTCGAGTATAGGCTGTCTTTGCTTGTTGCGGCATCCCCAACGCTCCCCTCCACACCCTGATGCTACCTACCGGACCCCGAGCCTAACGCTTATCGGCACTATCGCAGGAGGGGTCATTGTGCTCGATAGGCGACAGCTGATCCGAGAGAAGAGCGATATTGCGACACACTGGCCTGCATCGCCGTCTCACTGGCTGCTGCAGGGTGAGGCGTCAGCTTGCGTGGGTTCAGTTAGCCAGACGACAGCCAGACCGAGAGGCGGAGCTGGCTAAGGACACCTGTGGAGCGTCTCGGCGGGCGAACACAATTCGGTTCTGTCGTCGCTCAACGATCTGCTCACTAGAGGCGCCTCTCCACGATAGTTGAGCACCCTCTCGCTACCCGCACACCACCCAACGCGCCCGTCTAGGAACCCTCGTGCACGTCGGCGCTGGTCAGGGTTTTCTTTGACCTCGATTGCGAATCGCGCGGTCCGCTGCAGCGCTTCTGGCGCTATCCTAACCAAGTGTAGGACTAGACGAGCCATTGGTGTGTGGGGCTGGGACTTGCATACAAAAAGCGGTGTACGCGTCTTGGCATCATCCTCCTACACTCTGGTCGGCCCATCGCCCGCCCGCTTACCTTCACCGCTTACTATCAGCTCGAAGAGGCTGAGAACACTCGAACCCCATTTTCACTCTCCGTGCAAACATGGAGAACCAACACATCGACTTTGACGGGGCCATTTACGGCGTGGACGGTGCCTTTGACCCTTCCTTCGACCCGAACAGACAAACCTACAACTTCTCCCAGACGTGGCCGCTGCCAATTTCACCCGGCAGTATGACACAACAACAGCAGCACCACGATGCCAGCCAGCAGCAGCAGCAGCAGCAGCACTCGCATCACCAGCATCAGCACCCACACCAGCAGCGCCGCATTAACAACGCGGCCGCGTCTACCGCGCACAACTCGCACCCGAGCACGACGAGCATGGCACCTCTCCACATGGGTCTCGGCTTTCCCGCGGCCATGCAACCGATGAACCCCATGTTGGCCACTTGGATGAACATCAACACGGATGGCTTTGGGCAAGATAGCTACGGGCAGGGCTCAATGGGAATGGGCACAGAATTCAGCACATACGGAGGGCCTCTGCAGACGTCGCCTGTCGAGTTCGGCATCAACCCGCACATGATGAACTCCATGTCCATGGCGCCGATGAACTTCATGACCACGACTAGCATGGACGGGCTACCCACCCTGACTACTGCGCCTTTTACAATGCAAACGATGAACGACTTCCAGCAAGAGTTCACTCACCTCGGCAGCGCGCCCGCCGAATACACCGCTCACTCAAATCCCAGCGTTGGCACTGGCTCACCTGGTGAGAACTGGATGGAGATCCGTTCGCTCTCCAGCAGCGACAACGGCTGGGTCGACGTCGGCCTCGGCCACGGTCACCGCAACTCGTACGACTACTCGGATAGCTCTGCCATCATCTTCAACCCAGCCCAGTCACTCCACATCCGCACCGGCTCGAATTCGTCAAACTCCAACCACTCCGACGTGCCACCGTCAGCCCATTCCTTCAGCAGTTTCGAGGAGATACAGTTCCCCATGCACTCTCCTCAATCAGAGAACAACTTGGAGCTTGTGCACTCCCATAGCCACTCCCATAGCCACTCCCACTCTGACAGCTGTAATCACACCCACGGGCTCCCGATGAGCGATCACGACTTCGCCAGCTACATCTCGCCTACCCAGTCCGTCAGCCCGCCCATGGCAC